CGGGCAGAGGACAGGGAAGAGAAAAAGAACCGCCCTGGAAACGGAGTTTCGCACTTCCTGGCCGCGGGGGCTTTCCGAACTGCAAAACGGGCCGGATCCCAGAGAACGGGGAGTGGAGGGCCCGCCTGGAAGCGGCTGCCCGCCCCCACGTTTTTCGGCCCCAGCCCGCAGCTTCCCAACCGGGTCCCGGGGAAAAGGAAGTCCGACTTTTCATGGGAACCCAAAAAGGGCCCTTCCACGGAAGCAAAAAGGACCTTCCACCCCACTTTACTGCTTGAGCGGCTTACTGCTGAGCGGCGCGGCCGGGAGCGCACCCCCGCCCCCCCAGCCTAGACCAAGACTGCAGTACCGCCGCCTGCCCCAGAGCCACGGGCTCGGGGGGACTAAGTCGGAGGCCAGACTTTCTCTGCTGGTGGCGGACGTAGGCCTGGTGGACGCATCGGAAGTTGTGCGCCCCTCCCAAGGCCCGGAGACGGTTTGCCCCGGGTCCCGAGCGATACGGGGACGCTCCTTTTTGCTCTGCCGAGCAACTACAGGAGCCGCGGTGTCCCGGCTGCACGAAACGGATAATTTCTGTCCCCAGAAAACTGCCCCTTCACTCCCTCAGCCCGGTCTGAACGGTCCAGCCGGCTCCCAGGCAGATTCGTCCGGAGGGGACGCGTCAGCAGGGCTCCCGAGACCCTCTAGTGCGCCCAGCCTCCTCGCTTCGCCCACGGAAAACAGACCCGGATCCGGCCCCAACGCTGCGGGTCGCGATGCGGAGCTCCATGCTCAGCTTCTCCCAGTGTTTCCTCCACCTCCGATGGAGGCGGGAAGGCGGCAAAGGGGCACCAGGGGCCTTATCAGAAGGGTGTGGGCAGCGTGACCACTGCCTTGCCACAGTGAGGGCAGTGGGCTACATGAGGTCTCTCGCCTCCAGGACCCCCGTCCCTTCGCTGACTTACTCTTTCTCTCTGCTATGACTTATCTCGGGCTTCCGAATTTTATTTCTTGTCGTATTCACTCTTTTCTTTGGGGGCTCAGAAAAAAAAAAGCTGAAATTCCACCAAGCAGCAGATAAGGAGCTCCCTTTGAAGGGGGTCATCTGGTTTCGTTTTGCCCCAAACACGGAGACTGTGCAGACTCCCCACCAGTGGAGATGTTTGCTCGCCAACCACCGTGGCCAGGCCCTGGGCTCTTGAGGTCGGAGGTGTGGGCGCTGCCAGTGGCCTCCTGAGAGGCCTCAAGAAGCCCAGCTCTAAGTTGGAGCTCAGGATGGAGAGGGAGGCAGGAGAGGCAATGAGCAAATACTCTCCCCCAACACACACACACACACACACACACACACACACACACACACACACACGGCATGCTTTCTCCCCAGGGCTCGCTCTGGAGCACTTTCTCTGACCTTGCCCTACAGCCTCTCCCTGCTTCAAGGTGCTGCCACTGCAGCCCCTCCCTCCAGAGGGAGGAAGGACAGGCCGCCTTACCTGCCTCAACAGCCAAGCTGGCGGCCCAGGAAAGGATTTAGCTCAGGCTGAGGCTGAGGCTGAGGCTGAAGCAGGCCGAACAACCAAAGAAAGAGGGTCTGGTGATTCTGCCAGCCTAGGGCCCTGCACACCCCAGCTCTCCCCTAACTGGGCTGCCCACACAGCAGCCTTGGGGCTGGGGCTGCCCTGGGCCTGTACGCCAAGGACCCAGCCTTCCGATGAGGACTGGAGCCTCCAGTCCTGGGGGCCCGCCAGGCCCTAAGAGGATGCTTGAAAGTTCTCCCCAGACTACAGGGCCATTGGGCCCAGGCTGTCCCTGCACCCAGAGTAAAGCAGTCTCTGTGTGTGTGTGTGTGTGTGTGTGTGTGTGTGTGTGTGTGTTGGGCAGGGTGGGTGACGGTCACTGCTCCCAGCCAGGGCCAATACTTACTTACCAGCCCCATTTGCCTTCCCTTCCCTCCTGCCTTTTATGCTGGGTCTCTGGCTGTTTAGAATTAAGGCTGAAATTACTTAAATCTCCCCTATCTATCTGCTTTAATGACATCAATAGAGATTAATAAAATCCAGATGACACAGCAATCACCACGGCCTCACCCGGTCCTACCTTCGGAGGGCCTGGGGGGAGGGAGGAAGGTGGGGTGCTTGGTCCTGAAGAGGCCTGCATTCCTGCCCCATCGCTGGGCCCTTCTGAGTCCTGGACCACCAGCGGGCCCAAGGGCCCAGCACGGGAACCCACAGCCACACACCTGCACCCAGACGCGGCAGAGAAGGGCCTCTGTGTACCTGGTGATGCCGCCTGCCTCTCTCGGGCCATTTGCTTTGGTCTGATGCCTGCCTCTCTCTCGCATGCCCCTGAGTTATCCCCAATTTGTACAGTCCCCAAGAGACTGGGAGCTGCTCCTAGGTTGCCGCCAACGAAGAAGCGGCCACCACCACTACCTCTACGCAGTCCCTCTCAGCCAGACCCCTCCTCCGGGTTCTCCGGATCTCCAGCTCAGCCTGCCTGCCTGCCTCCTCGAGGGGGCCGCCGGCCGCCGGGTCAGGGCAACCCCATGGAGGGATGGACCCAGCCCTCCGCGGCCGGCCCGGGAGCTGCCGCGTCTCTCGCCACAACCCCGGCGCCGCAGGTTGGGAGCATGGGCCTGGGCGAAGTTTCTTTCTAACACCTGAGGCTGGGCCAGGCCGCGCCCGGAATGGGATGGCGCAGGGGCACGGCGCCGGCGGCGGTCTCCAGCGAGACGGGACGGGATGGACGGGCGGAGCAGAGGCGCGAGTACCTGGGGTCGCCTGGTCCGCGAAGCCGGTGATGGTGTCCGCGCGGCCGTGGCGGCCAGAGCCCGCGGAGGAGACGGCGGCGGCCCCGGCCGGAGCCCTCCCGGCCAGGCTCCGGTAAAGCGACATCATGAACTGGTGCGGCACCACCGAGCCGTTCCTGAAGCCGGAGCCGGCGGCGCGGCGCGAGGCGCGGGCCCCGGGAAGCTGCGGCGGTCTGGGCAGCAGAGGCGCCCGCAGCCGCGA